GGGCTCAGGGTTTACGGGTTTAGGGGCTTAGGGGCTTAGGGCTTAGGGCTTAGGGCTCAGGGTTTAGGGATTAGGGGTTAGGGTTTAGGGATTAGCGTTTATGGGTTGAGGGTTTAGGCTTTAGGGTGTAGGGTTTAGCGTTTAGGGTTTAGGGGTTTTTGGTTTAAGGGCGCCTGTTGAGACAAATTCTCTGGAAAAAAAACACCCGCAAGTCTCAAACCTTCAATTGCCCACAAACCCCCAAAAGCGAACATGGTGAAACTCGAAATGCTTAAACGATCCCACATGACAAATTCCCCAATTCGTTTTAGAGAAATAAACCGCCAAAGCCCCAAGCCTCCTCGAACCGGAACCCTAAACGCTAAACCCTGAACCCTAAACCCTAAACCCTCCTCGAACCTGAAATCCCTTGAAGCCCTGGCTTGCGAGGACAGGCGCTTGGCAAAGAGCTCTTGGGCATCGGAGTCCAGTTGCTTCTGGCGCCTCCTCACCTCTGGAGGGTTAAGGTTTAGGGTTTCGGGTTTAGGGTTTATAGGGCTCTAGGACTTTAAGACTTAGGACTTAGGGTTTAGGGGTTGAGGGCCTAGGGCATTGTTTTGGGTTTAGGGGACTTTAGGCGTTGAATGATGTGGGTTTTCGGGTCGGCAGGGAGTACACGGCTAGTGGTTTGTGAAACTGGTAACCAGAAGCATCCGAAACCCTGTCTTGTAAGCTGAACAAAGGCAACGGAAACCAAGCAGTCTGAACTGCCCACAATTCCCACTTGCTATAGGAGCCTTATTAATAATTACAATAGGGTTTTGGGGCTCAAGGAACCGCTAAAACAGTATTGGTAATTAGTTAGGCACCTATATTAGCCTCCTGAGGCCTTTCCCACCCACAACTGGCTGTCTGGTTTCGGGCTCAGGGAAGAAAGTTTGGGTAGTAGTTGCCTTTAGTCTCGTCCCAGCCGCTCGGTATAAAGAACTTCCGGCTTCACCAGGTTCTGTCACAATGAACAACGAAAGTCGCTTGACGCAAGATATGCCACCACCCGACACACCCTGGTGTGAGGTGGTACCGTCTTAGCACAGATTGTCAACCCTAAACCCTAAACCCTAAACCCTAAACCCTAAACCCTGAACCCTAAACCCTAAACCCTGAACCCTAAACCCCTTAAACCTAAGCCCTCCCCATCCTAGGCGTTACCTGTGGAGCCAGTAGCCATTTATTAAAAAAGGGACCCTGAACCCTCGGGCATAGAGCCCAAGTGGAAGAAGACAACAACGAACTTGAAGGCCAAAGCATATACTAAAGGGGCGCATGGGCCGTTCTCTGAGTTAAGTTCTTTTTTTGGTCCTGCCGGGCCATCTGAGACCCTAAACCCATCGTTTGGCCTTGTTCGCATCAAATGCTCAAGCTTTTAGCCAGGCCCGAGACACCTAAGGCCCTAAATCCCCCGCCCTGAACCCTGACACCCAAAATAATCCCACATAGTCACTCCTTATAGGCTCCATGCGACCCTAGCCTTAAAAGACACGAAGAACCCCTTAACCCTAAGCACACAAACCCGAAGCCCGAAAATCCCTTAACCCTGAACCCGCCTTATCTCGGAGCTGTGTTAGCTCGCTTGAGGCACCTGGAAGCACCTTCTGCAAAGGTTCTAACCCAGGTTCAGGGTTTAGGGAAGAGTCATTACTTTCGTTTTGGGTTTGGGTTCAGGGTTAAGATTTTGGTGCTTTTTGGGTTGGGGTTTAGGGATCACCCGCAGGGAGTAGGATAAACCAAGGGCTATACTACTCCCTAAACCCTAGACCTTAGACCCTAAACCCTAAACCCTAAACCCTAAACCCTAAACCCAAACCCTTAAAGGAACCTTCTCAAGGAACCCTTGTTCTAAGCGTACTTAAAGACTTCAAAGCTTCTCGAAACGCTCAATCCATGATGCTCCAAGTACTGGGCTCTGAATAAGATAGGGCCTGCATAACTACTAACACTGTTCGTTAGAGCTCCTAATTATTTGAGTATGACCGGCAACCATATTCCACTCATGAAGGTTCTTACGCCACGGAAATTCAGCCTAGAGACTCCAAAACCCCTTAATCAAGGAATATACGTTAAATTATAATAGGATCCCTAATATGATTTAGGGTATATTCCTTGATTAAGGGGTTTTGGATACTGGGTTCTGAATACACCTTACATAAACCCTACAACGTCCAATTTTGTAACATACCATGGTTCCTGTTATCCTGAGGCCGCAAGTTGTCCAAGTACTCAAACTGTGCCAAAACGGGGCACAAGATACTACAATTATGGAACTAAGCCCAAGAATACCTACAATCGTAGTATACGTGGACCCTCTTGGGTAGATACTTCTGGCAGAGTTTGGCATTGTGGGGCACTGAGACCCTTCGAAGGGAAAGAAACAGTACCCCAGTCTCAAGAATGAGAAAATAGGGCCTGTAACATAGGGCCTGTAACTACAATAATCGGGCTCCGATAAAGGCTTCCTATTTGGCGCAAATGTAGGGGCCTGAATCATTAGAGCTGACTTTTGTGGTATATTAAACAATAACAACAATATAACAATAACAATAATTACTAGTATGAGGAACTCCAAAGTCGTATTGGTAATTATTGAGGACCCGCATATTAGCGAGAAAGCCCAACCCCACTTAGAACGGTACATAGTGGGTGTTAAATTGTGAAGGGATCCTCAACGCGCTTCAAAGGTATGTTGCTGGTTTAGAAGTGTATTGGGCGCTCTGGGACCCTAAACTATCCGAAACCCTATACTCTAAACGCTGAGCCCTAAACCCCCATAGTTAAGAGTCCTTACTGGAACATTGAGGGCATTCATGTATGTATGCAGGCTTCTTGAAATGAAAAACTCTCCAAAGTCCTACTTTCTCTACAACCGGATACAACAAACAAAGCCTAAAACCCTGTCAAGTCCTACTTGCTGTACCTGTAAAGCCCTGGCATGCAAACCTTAAAAAACCGAATAAAATCTTGCTGGAGTCTCGCCACACGGATCTGTGCCCTAACCCTCACCCTACAGTGTTTGAGAGAATTCTGAGCTATGTTCTGCTCCAGGGAAGAATAGGTTTCTATTTTTGGGTTTAGGGTTTAGGGGTTTCTAGGTTTAGGGTTAGCGTCTGGAGCTGGGAGAGTTCTGTCCGGGGCTTGTAGGGTTTGGGGATGGGGATAGTGGGGTTTAGGCCTTGGGGACCAAAAATGTGGGGTCCAGGGTTCGGGGGTTGAAGCCTGAAACATCAACCCCTGCGTGACGAGGCTCAAAGGCTAGGCCCTGAACAAGAAGAGCCTAAACCCTAAACCCTAAACCCCAAACCCTAAACCCTAAACCCCTAAACCCTAAACCCTAAATCCTAAATCCTAAACCCTAAACCTTGAACATGAAAGCTTCAAAACTCTGTAGTGAAGACCCCAAGCTTGAAGGCCACCACCCGAAGCTTAGGGTTTAGGGTTTAGGGTTTAGGGTGTCCGTACCCCACACCATGGACCAAACCCTAAACCCCATCCCCCCAACGCGGGCCAGCGCCCGGCCTTGATGTCGCGCAGCGCGGATGCGCAATCATCCAAACCTTGCGATGCCGACTGCTGTCGCAAGCTAATATGAGGGCCTTAAGGATCTAATATAGGGCTTACTTAGTTTAGGGTTTAGGGTTTAGAGTTTTTTTAAAGTGCAGTGGCTCCTTTTAGAGTTTACGGATAGGGACCTTAATAATTAGAATTGGGTTTTGGGGTTTTTAACATGGGCCTTATTGTCACAGTAAATGTTAAGCTGTTATGATTATAGCAGTTGGAAAGGATTTGCGATGTATATCTGGGGGCGGTAACAAGTTATGATGTTATGATTACGTGTCTTCTCAGTCTGCAGCTGTCCTTATCACATCGGGCTTCAGTAAGGGTAAACCTTAAACTCTAAACCCTAAACCCTAAACCCTAAAACCCTAAACCCTAAACCCTAAAACCCTAAACCCTATAAAATCCTAAACCCTAAAACCCTAAACCCAAAGCCTTAAAACCCTAGCCCCTAAAACCCTAAAGCCCCAAACCCACACAGAATAAGGGCAGCAGGGTACTACTTAGGTATACTACCATCTTGAGCCGGAGAACTTTATACAGCCTCAAAACCATTATCATAGGTCCCATTATAGTTTTATGGTATCTTCCTCGATTCCCTTATAGAGCCCGTATAGACCCCCTTTAAGGAACCCTTTAAGGTATAGCCCTACAGCCACAACTCCAAGAACCCAGGTCTAAGCCACGGAGAACGTCGTAGATCCGAGCCCTCAGGCTTTAGGGCGCGAGGGTTTCGGGTTCAGTGCCTGAGGTTTTCGGGGTTTAGGGTGTAGGGTTTAGGGTTTAGGGACCAGAATAATTAGAATAGGGTTTTGGGGTTCCTTATTATAAGCATGGTATAATATACTCCAAAGCCGATTCTAATTGTTGAGGCCCCTACAATAGGGTTTAGGGACCCTGAATACCGAACCTCGGAAGGGCCTCGTCATCCTGAACCTGAAACGAAAGCCCACACAGGGCACCGACACCACAATCCCGACACCCCAAACCTTAAATCCCAGATTCGAAAAGCGACGAACGCCGTATCAGGGTTCAGGGTTTAAAACACACAGGTCCGTTTTATGAGGCACGGAATGCCTCCAACATGTTCAAACTGCTTCCAACATCACCCTCGTAATCAAGCCCTACAATCCCTCAACGCAGAGAAGGACCCTAAACCCTAAAACCCTAAACTCCTAAACCCCTAAACCCAGAGTAACACTGGCTAGTTGCGAATCCGGAAAATATTCCGAGCTGCAGCTCGTCTCTGCACCACCCCACTCTGAAGGCATTGCCAGCAAGAAAAGCATAGCAACAGAACATCGACGATCCTTCGTCAGGGGAGAGGATGACCCTCAAGTCCTTCAGGTCGTCCTCCAGGGTCTTGTCCCAGACGGCCTGGCCTGTGTTCGCATTCCAGAGAAAGCAGCCATCGGGCGAAGTAATCCGGACTTCCCCATTTGCTGTGCCAGCTGCGTGGAGCCCGTGCTCCGGCAGCTTGAGCTCCAGGTCGAGCATATTCAAGGTATGCAAGAGTGCTTACAGCTGCTCTCGAGCTGCCAGTTTCTTCTGGCGGATCGTCAAGATCGCCTTTGGCCTGGGAGAGCTTTCACGGGAGAACAAGACATGAAATTCGCACGACGTCTTCTCTTTGCGGCCAAACAGCAGTTTCTTCTTCTGCCCCACAGCTTGAGCGGCACTTGTGAACTCGGCAAAGGAGTCGGCAGCCCTCTGTGCTTCTTCAAGCTTCGTTTCGACTGAAGCTGTCCAGGCCAGGAGATCGGACATTCGCTGTAGAGGCATGCATGCTGCGGCTCGGCCACGGAACAGGACTGGACTCCAGACCTAGGCAAAGCGAAAGACACACAGTGTCCCATATCATTGGTCTATGTTGCCGTGCAATCCAGCCACGTCCAGTTTGCCCTTGGGGCTGGCGTCCGCCATAATCAGCAGACTTCTCGCAGTCTGCGATTTCATGTCATAATTTGAAGAGGGTTCCTTTAAAGGGATCCTTAAGAGTTCTATAAGGGCTACTATAAGGGTTTGAAACAGGGGTCTTAATAATTAGAATAGGGTTGTGGGGTCCATTCTACTATAGAGATATTAAGGAACCCAGAAAATAGTATAGGAAATAGTCCAGGCCCCTCTATTGCAAGCCCTAATCCCTAAACCGCAACTTTGCAAAATGTCGGGGTGCCAGGGGTTCGGGGATAAGGCTTGGGGGTTTGATGAGACAAGGTCAGGGGTGGAGGGTCCCTGGACCCTAAACCCTAAACCCTTAACTGCAGATTGCCAAGGGAGTTTCAGAGGCTGAGGTCGAATCCAAAAATTGGGAAGCGCATTGCCAGAAGCCTTAAATCAGGCACCGTATAGGAGTTCGCTTCTAGCTACGAGACTTTTGACGGTGTGTGAGTGTTTAGAGTTTAGGGTCGTCTGATACAGAGCCCTCCCGAAAGCAAGGAAGCCTGCTCTCTCTGTATCTTCCATAAACCCTAAACTCTAGGCCCTACCTGACGCCTAACCCGAAGGCCCTAGACCCCTTCAGCTCTGAAACCAGAAATGCTGAACCCCAAACCCTAAAGAGTATCTTGTGGGTCTTCGAGGAGTGTCTAGGGCCCAGGACGTCGGGCCTAATACAGGGGCCTTTAAAAAGCAAATGGTTTAGGGTTTGGGGTTTAGGGTTTAGGTTTTAGGGCTTGGCGTTTAGGATGTAGGGTTTAAAAAATGAGACTAGGGTTCTTTCGGGTTTTTCGTATATTATTGTATAACTCTCTACGGTTGATGATAGAAACCCTGCACTACCCACAATTAGGAGTAGATCGAAACTCCCATAGTTTAGGCTCCGTAAGGTCATTCAGGATTTATATCATCAATAGTATATTGGTAATTGAAGCTCACAGTATACATATATCCTGTTTGGGCACATGGACCTTAGGCCTCTGGCCCGAGGACATCACAAAAGGTTTGTAGCAGGCGTGGCGGCTTACTTGTGCGTGTAGTTAGGGTTGTGGTAAGTAGTGGGGTAACTGCCTATGTCCAGTGGCTCCGAAATCGGCAAGGGAACAGCGACTCCCTAAACACTGAGAAGCTGAAACCCGAAAACTTCCGAAGCCGCAAACCCTAAACCTCCAAGCGACCAAGGTGGGCTTCAGCGCGGCGGAAGAGCCCTGCGCGGCGAGACTGGACTCAGGAGTGAAAGGTGCATACTTTCGGGTTGAGGGTTTGGGGTTCTAGGGTTTAGGGGGTTTAGGTTTAGGAGTACAGCACCGGTAATGGTCAATATACTCGAAGAGGATAAGAGCATCTATCCATCGTTCGATCTTTATTTCTCGCTCGCTGTCTACAGGCGCCTTGTCCCAACCCCATGGCTTAAGCCCCTAAAACCTGAACCCGAAATCCTGAACCCCAAAGCCTGAACCCCCAACCCTACACCTAAACCTGAACCCTAAACCCTAAACCGGGCCGCCCTAAATCCTGAAACCAAAAATACAAGTTGGCCGGCGTCTTCAAACCCTGTGATCTTTTGAGCCTAGGTACATGGTGTTTCAGCCATTTGGCCTGGGTATGTCAGTTGTGGTTACGGATTCCTAAACCTACGGGCCCATGTCCCCATCTAGTATAGGGTTTACGGCTTAAGGGTTTTAGGGTTTAGGGTTTAGGGCTTTAGGGTTTTAGGGTTTACGGTTAAGGGCTTTAGGGTTTTAGGGCTTAGGGTTCAGGGTCTGCCATCTAGCATACACTTTTGCATTAAAGTAGTCGGTGTATATACCCTAAACCCTAAAACCTAAACTTCAATCGGCAACTCAGCCTAGCAGCTCCTCCGCTTCCTCAGCATGTGCTGATGCCGCCTGTTCCATCCTTTCATACGGCCACGATCGATTGCACAACTAGTCTCCCTTGTAGCTCATTTTGGGGTTCTCAACTAGTTTTACATTAAGGATCCTAAAAGCTAGCCCCAAGAAAGAACTGACGAAGAAGAACTTTGCCACGTGCATCCGCACCAGCTCGACGTCGCGCGGAGGACGCGCAAAAGGAGACTACACCCTAAACCCTAAAACGACAGCATCCAACGCTTCTGGCCCAGTCGTCGCCCTTGAGCTCGGATCTCCCGGATCCAATAAACCCTAAACCCTCATAAACCCTGACCCCTAACCCTAAACCCTAAACCCCTAAACCCCTCTGCCCTAAACCTTAAACCCTAAACCCTTATAAACCCTAACCCCTAAACCCCTATGCCCTAAATAGGCTTTGGAGCTGAGGTTTCTGGTCTTGGCCCAGGCCCTTTTGGGTTTCGAGTTGAGGGATTTTGGGATAGCACTTGGGATAACCTGGTTACTAGCTCCGAACACCGTCTTAAGAGACGAGAAAGCCTAAACCCCTAAACCCTAAACCCTAAATCCCAAACTCAGAACCTGAAGCCCAAAGCCCTAAACTCTAAGAGACTTGGGCTCAACCAGGGTTTAGGTTTTAGGGTTTAGGGTTTAGGGTTTAGGGTTTAGGGTTTAGGGTTTAGGGTTTAGGGTTTAGGGTTGGGGGTTGTTGAAGGGCGTAGGATTCTCGTTGTAGCCATCGCACCATGATTTGCTACGAAACTGCATTGCGTGTTCGTGGCCAGTTGCTGCTAAATGGGGTGCGCAGTAAACCCTAAACCTTACTTCCCCAATAAGCCAGGAAAACAGAAAGGTTAAACTTTCAATCTACTACTAAACTTTAAGAGGCCAACAAGGTTAAAGGCTGTGCATTGGAGAACAAAGAAACCCAAACTCTAACCGACTCTAACCTTTAGTTTGCTGGTTCTGTGGCGTAGGACTCGAAGACTTGACTCTACTTGGAGGATCATGGGACTTAGCAACTAGGCTTATAAATAAGGTAACCTATACTGATATGTAAATATAACCCCAATTAAGGTAGCTATAACTTATATAACCTTACTTACTAAGTCCCATGATCCTCCAAGTATTGACGCCAGCAGCAGCCACGAGCTCAGTGGTACGTTTTTACCGTACAACTGCCGCTCTGCAGTATGAGGGTTTAGGGTTCAGGGTTCATGGTTTAAGGTTAAGGGTTTAGGGTTTAGGGTTCAGGGTTCAGGGTTCAGGGTTTAGGGCATCTATAAACTGAGTCCGGTCCGGACATAGTCGAAAACATCATACGAGGCGATGCAGCGTCGGATGATCCAAGCGGCAAGCACCAACAAGGAGGTCGCGGAAGGAACTATAGGGGCCTTGATAATTACACTAGGGTTTAGGGTTTAGGGTCTAGGGGTATAAGTTATAATCAGGAGCCCCCCAAACCCTATTCTAACTATGAAGGCCCTTATATTACATGCAAAGACGCCAGTTTCGGGCCCCGCCGTCTTCCCCTCCGCCTCCGTCCCCCAGAGAGCCCAATACCCCTTAATTAAGGAATGTATACCTTAACTCATATGAGTAGTAAGGCCCCTATAAATTATAGGTATATGCGTTAATTAAGGTGTACTGGATTCTCTAGGTTGTCGGCAGGACAAGAAGCCGCCCGACGTTCCTACAGCGACTCGAGGTCAAGGAAAGTGCTTCGCACGACCATTCTGTTCCCACCAAACCTACCCAGAGATTCCAATATACCTTAATTAAGGAATATACCTTAAATTATAGGGCCCTTATCATTATGGTTTAAAGTATATTGCCTAATTAAGGGGTATTGGAAACCCGAAACCCTAAACCCTCGGCCAGCTGCTGCCGTTGCCACTGCCCCGCCCATCCTCGAAGAATCAGCTAGAATTGACTGAGCCCGAAACTCAAGAAACCTGTACCCCTTAGTTAAGAAAACAAACCTTAAATCATAATATTAAGGCCCCTAGAATTCAATTTATATTCCTTAATTAAGGGGTATTGGACTCTCACTCGCTGGGTTAACTGAGCCCGAAACCCTAAACCCTAAACCCTAACCCAAACTCCAGAAACCTATAAAGCCAACCCGAACGCCCGAAGCCGTAGAGCTTCCCACCCGAAAAAATCCGGAACCCCAGAATTCAGTGCACCCTGGGTTTAGGGGTTTGGGGGTTGGAGTTTAGGGTTTAGGGTTTAGGGCTTTAGGGTTTAGGGTTTTAGGGTTTAGGGCTTTAGGGTTTAGGGTTTTAGGGTTTTAGAGTTCAGGGCTTACTTGGAGGATCAGGCCTTAGTAACTAGGGTTATAAATAAGGGAACTATGGTTATAAGTAGTTATAACCCCAATTAAGGTAGTTATAACCGTATTTACTAAGCCCCATGATCATCCAAGTAAGGGTCCATGTCCCCGGCTTGGAGTCACCCCTATATAGGTACTTTAAGGCAAAAGTATATGGACCCTTCAAAAGACAGCTCTCTCATGAACCCTAAACACTAAGAAACCTGAATGTCTAAGCTAAGTTCTGCAACGTGAACCCTACATCAAGCCAAAGCCCAGCCTTTTTCGTTGGAAGGTTCCATGTCGAGGACGAGGTCGCAAGTCTGAACGGCTCGTTTGAAGTAGCCCGCCTCGAGCAGGGTTTGGGGTTTTGGGTTTTGGGGTTTGGGGTTTTGGGTTTGAGGTGTTCGGATTTGGGGTGTAGGGTTTGGGGGGTTTAGGGTCTGCGGTTGAGGGTTTGAGGGTTCGACCAGGTTAGGGATGTTAGGGTTTTGGGATGGGGTTCACGGCTTGGGGGTTCAGAGCTTGAGGGTTGGACCAGGTTAGGGTTTGGGGATGGGGTTCAGCGTTTTGGGGTTTGGCTTAGGATATTCGGTTCCGGGCCTTCGGCTTGGTGGTGTTTTGGAAGGGTCTAAAATCAGAATCGCGTTCCGCAGCGCCTCATCAGTCCTCGGAAACGGATTGGGGTTTAGGGTTTAGGGTTTAGGGTTTAGGGTTTAGGGTTTAGGGTTTAATTTAGGGTTTAGGGTTTAGGGTTAGCCCACAACCAACCAACCAACAAAAACCCACAAGCCCTAAACCAACCAATCCTGGACCCAGATGCCGCAGGCGCTAAGCCCTAAACCCCAACAAGCCCTACACCCGAAAGACCCTACGAAAAACACAGAATCTAGAACCCTGAAAAGCCTATGACAAACCGCTAACCAACCAAGCAACACAAGCCCTACCTCCAAGGATGTCTAAATCACAAGCCCTAATGAACAATGTAGGGGCCTTCATAGCTAGAAGAACTCATGCGTGTATAAGTCTGTTTATATACGGACTGTAAGGCATACTATGGTTGATGATACCAATCCTGCATTACCCATAGTAAGGAATATACCCGCAATCCCCACAGTTTAGGTCCCTTAATGTAATGCAGGATTTCTATCATCAACAGTATTGCACTTCCCTAAACCATAAACCGTAAACCATAAACCGTAAACCCCTAAACCCTAAACCCTAAACCCTAAACCCCTTAAAGGCCAACCCTGTCATTACATTACATACTGTAAGAGGACCCATCCTCGGAGTTCTTGCGCTCTGGGCTTGAAAACCCTCAACCCAAAATCGGTTTAGGGCTTTAGGGCTTTAGGGTTTTAGGGTTTAGGGTTTAGGGTTTAGGGTTTAGGGTTTAGGGTTTAGGGTTTAGGGTTTAGGGGTCCCCTACACCCCATAAACCCCATACACCCCGAATATAGGGGCCTTAATAATTAGAATAGGGTTTCGGGGTATATCATACTATAATTATTATTATAAGGAACCCGCCAAAAACCCCATTCCAAGTATTCAGGCCCCTACATTACAGCCCCAACCCCTATGGCAGGGATTCTTCAGTCTTTTGGTTCCAGAACGCCGCGCCTTGTTCAAGCAGAGCGCGCGATTGAGTAGGCAAGCCTTCTTCCTGAGCTAGGGCTTAGGGTTTAGGGTTTAGGGTTTATGGCTTAGGGTTTAGGGTTTTTGGGGTTTGGGGTTTAGGGAGCTATGGCTTATAACATGATATATATATATATAACATAATGCAGTGTAATTTAATGCAGTAGAGCTTAATATAACATAAAGCAGTGCAATATAGAATAACCTACAAAGCAAAGCATAATCAAAACACAATACTGTGTAATATAGTATTGTGTAGTGTAATGTAATGTAATGTAAGGTAAGGTAAGGTAAGGTAAGGTAAGGTAAGGTAAGGTAAGGTAAGGTAAGTAAAGGTAAGGTAATGTAATGTGATGTGATGTGATGTGATGTGATGTGATGTGATGTAATGTAATGT